CCGAGCTGTGCCTGGCCACGCCGGCGGGCCGCGAGTGCGCCTGCGCGGACGGCCGCGAGCCCGCCCCGCTGGCGCCGCTCAGCTGCCGCGCGGCGCCGGCGGCGCGCGCCCCGCCGCCCTGCGCGCCCGGCACCTTCGCCTGCCGCAACGGGTGAGGCCATACGTTTCATGATGATACGCTTGTTGGAGCAAAAACTCTTTTGCGCCACCTCATTCATGAAGTTTATTATTATAATATTTTTTATGTTCCAAATTTGATATTTTTTTTCTTTATCTTTTGTTTTTTCTTCTAATTGAATACATGCGTTCTAAGAATCCGTCAACAAATCTTTATTTTTATTCTCTTTATAACATCTTAATATATAAAAACCCTTGAAATTATTATTATTACGCCTGGACTCTCAAACAACGCTCGATATCGCTTAGTACACTTTATCTTGTTTTCCTTCTAGAGAAACAACACCCTACATTTATGTTAAAAAAAAACTAACGCATAAATAGTAGTGTCATTAGTCAAATATTTAATAACAAAGATATTAATTGATAAACGAACACTGTAGTTATATTGGTACTATATTATTTAATTGTTGGCCAAATAACCACGTGTAGGTACTTTGGATGGTACGAGTTTGAAAGACAGATGTAAAACAATTTATACAAGTGGTAAGCGTCGTAAAATAATTTAATCTATGAAAGAATTTTACGACACAGTAAATATTACAAAAGAGTATATTTACCCCTTTTTTACATTACTTTAAAACGTTGACTGCCAAGTAGCCGTAAAAAACGTATTTTGTATTAATTCCAAATGCTCATGAAAACGATGGGTGTCGTATTTAGTATTACATAATTCGTGAAAATTAGTAATTACCTACAGAATATAATATCAAATAGTTTTTTTGTCGATAGTGGCGTTGAATTGAATAGCGAATTGTTCGGTACTGTTATAGGAATCGTAATGTATAAATGAAAGGAATGGTCAATATTAAACTTCAATACAAAATCGATATCATTAAACATGGCTATAGTTGGACACTTGTGTGATCAAGGCGCTGCATCGAGGAGCAGTACGCGTGCGACGGCGACCTGGACTGCGCGGACGGCTCCGACGAGGACGCGGCGCCCGGCGGACCTTGCGGTCAGTCTCCCGGCGTGTACGGCTGCGTGCCGCACGGACACACTATTGTTTCACGCATTTGGACCTCCCATTAGCTTTGATTATAGAATGTCTATATGGAGTTAGTTCACGAAAATCGTCCCAATTTGCAGTGAACTGTTCGCTGCAATGCACTTTCTTGTCAAGTAGTACCATCATGTCACCTAGGCGTCACTACGTGCATGCACGCTACGAATTAAAGTAAACAAAAAAGTACATTGTAAAGATGACCACATGCTCCTTAAAATTGTGCTAAAATTATAAATGTAGTAATTAGAAATAACATTATTCAATTTATGTTTTTGACGTAACTAATTTATCGCCATATTTTATAAGTGTTGTCCTGAGTCTCAAAAGAGGGAAAAATTATAAAAAAAAAATTGAATACCAAAACAATAATGAATTGGTTGTTACTTACAAATAAAATGATAATTTATTGAACTATATACAATAGGCTCACTCCCTATTACATGGGACTCATAACGTAAATAGTGAAAAGTGGGTATTACATTGTACAGTGGCATAATGTACACCTCTGCCAACCCCTTCGGGGATAAAAGGCGTGATGTTATGTTTATTGAACTAACACTCACCTACGCTTTAATGTACTATTTTTTCTAATCGACTTAAGAAGCTACGTTTCAACGTATTTTGAAATGATTGGATTGATTTAGTTATACATTATAAACTATGGTTTATACTAAATCACTGTGTGATGGTATTTTTCCTACAATATGGAAACAAGCTTTAGTTACTCCAGTCCCGAAAAGTGATAGAAGAGACTATATATAGATAATCTGAAATAAGTGTTTTATCATCACATACACTCGAAACCGTACACCTGTAAACTATAACTATCATAATATTAACGGTGAATCCCTTAGTCGAGTTTACTCGGTTCGTGATTTGGGTGTCTTGATGGACTCACAACTCTCATTTAACCTACATATCGATCATGTGATCAAGAAGTCATACAGGCAGCTTGGTTTCATTACAAGAATTTCAAAGCCATTTAAACGAGCTAGTACCTACTTTAAAGATTTACTTTCGTTTTGTACATTCTCTATTAGATTTTGCATGTATCATCTAGAGCCCCTATTATGCATGTCACATAACTGGAATTGAAAATATTCAAAAGAAATTCATTAAATGTTTAGATTACCGCTGCTGTCACCCTCATGTATCTTATGAGACCTCGTTGAGATACCACAATTAGACATTGCTCTCTGATAGAAGAAAATACTTTGATCAAATGTACCTTTTTAAAATAATTAATGATTATATTGAGTCACCCCCACATAGTTCCCGCCGGCGAACATTATTTTCAATACCCTCTTATAGAACAACATACACAAGGAACAACTTTTTCGAACGCAGTGTTAGCACTTATAACGAAGAATTGAATGAACTAGACATATTTAATACCAGTTCCGATGTGTATAAATCTAAAATTAAGCAGAAATATACTCCGCGCTACATTTTGGAACATCATTTTTGTTGCTATTGTATGGTGACGCTCAATCTAGACATTATATTATCTCTACTATAATAGCATTCTGACTTCGCCATTGTCGGATGAAGCCACAATTTTTATTAATACACATATATTTATTTAAAATTCTCTATAATTAACATTTTGAAATACTACTTACAATAAAATAAAAAAAAAAATTAAAAATATAAAAAATAGGAGCCGACCAGTAGCGGGAGCATGGTCCAAGCTACCGGTGGTTGTCGCGGAGAACCTAACGGGTAACCGGGGCTCCGGCTCGACGTGCAGGAGAAGGAACGGGGTGGTTTTTAGTCAGTAAGAGTCTGACACTCCCTCCCGCCTCACCCAGGCGGGAGCAGTCATTGGATGATTTTCCCCCCTTAAAAAAAAAAGCTACCGGTGGTTAGGGCTCCAGGGACAGAAACCTCCTCACGATACGTGACGTTTCTAGGAGAACTGCCTTCTGTATCAGGTCCTTGATCCATCCACCTAACGCCAGCCTCCTGAGATGGATGTCGAGGCTTTTAGTAATTAACCCATTGGCCGACACGACTATCGGCACAATGATAGCCGAATCCACACTCCACATGTCGACGACCTCGTGAGCTAAGTCTAGATATTTTATTTGTTTATCTTTCTCAGCTTTCACGATGTTCTCGTCATGACGATTATTGAACTAACACATTGCGCATCATTATTCAATTAACACATTGCTTGACACCATTCCCCATGGGGAATAGTGTCAAGCAAGTTGCTGATGGATAATCTTGGCTACTTGTTTCATCATCATCAGCCTGTGTCCGTCCACTGCTGGACATTATATAGGCTTGTCCAAAGGCACGCCACTGAGCTCAGTCTTCAGCTCTTCTCTACTTGATTATGCCTATGCAAATATTCACTGTTAGCCAAACGACCACAACCAGAAATAATATGTCTATTAATACTATTATTAGGGTACTAGGTTGCACGTAGGTTAACATAAATCTAAGCCTTATTAAGTGTTCTTTATTGTTATTTTTTTCATTTGTTGTCGTAAATCTGATTTGCCTGTCATCTGGTCCAAGTATATCGTTGAGTTTCGGGGTGCCCTGAATACACCGGACCCACCTGTATATTCGCGCGTGGTCTGTGCAGCCAACGTCACGTGCGCCGACGAGCAGTTCCTGCGCTGCGACTCCAACCGCTGCATACCCAACTCATGGATCTGCGACGGACAGAAAGGTAAGTGGCGGGGCGCGGGGGGCGCGGGGCGCGGGGCCGCCCGACACTCAGCCCTGGGCGTGTGCAGACTGCAACGACGGCGCCGACGAGGCGGCGGCGGCGTGCGCGGGCGGCGGCTGCCGCGCGGCGCAGTTCCAGTGCGCGCGCTCGCGCCGCTGCATCCCGCTGTGGTGGCGCTGCGAC